AAATAAATAAAAATCAATCTGTCCGAGCAATATCTTATCCACGTTAATCTCAAATTAATTTATGTCAAGAACTGGAAATTCCTAAGTGCCCAAGGCAGCAGTCAAGTGTCTATTTATCTGGAAGTCGATGCATAAGTGAAGTAATGACGGTTTAAGTTTTTTTTAAAGTGTGAAATTGTAAATTAGCTGCTATTCGTGTTATGGAATCATTGCCACGCAGCAAAAACAAATGCCTCACAACAGAAACCTATGAAGTTATATACCATCATGCCATTCTCAATTTCATATATTAATGTCAATAATAATAAATAGCATGATATTATAATGGATAGTGATGATATGGGGGATATTATGAGTATGTTAACTAGTATCAATCTAGAATGAAGCACTGCAACTTTTCCCTCTTCTTGCACTACAAACTTAATTAAATTTAGCATTCCAGTTTGTATTTTGCCTGGAAAGCATTTAAGCTGAATAGTGTTACTGACAGCTGGATTTGTATCCTAATTAAGCGAAATATTGGAACTCAACTCAACTCATTAGGGCTTAGACTCCATCCATGGAGTAAAGAGACACTAAAATTAGTAAATGTGTTTTGGGTAAGAGTGCTAAATGACAATCCAATAAGTTGCTTTAACTGGGCTAAGGGTGACCAAAAAAATATGTGCTTTGCAATAGTCAGGACAAGATTAATGGTGGGGAATAGGGCAAGCAAATGAAGGCACCATCAACACTCACGAGTCCTTGTGTTAGAGACTAGACTAGCCCCCCTCTCCCAAAATTTCTGACTTTTTGACCCAGGACTTCTAACTAGGTTTTTATTTAGATACAGTCTCCAGTCCCTGCTAGAAACCTGGGTAGTTTGAGAAGTATTCAATAGAACTCGTATGTTGCGCTTGCTACTAAATGGAGCGGGTGGCACCTACGTCCAAGCGTTCTTGTTCCGGGCAATGGGCACATTCGAACAGGACCGGACAGGACACGAAATGGGGGAAACAAAGCAGCGAAACAAAAAAAAAGGATATTCATTCATTTGGGCACCGGAAGGACCGGTTGCGGGAGGAGATGAAGGAGAAAGAGAGGGGAGCTCTCGGCTGTAGTATATCTACTCTAGCGGCCTTCGCGGCAAGGTACCCTCTCCCCAAGTTAGGTTCCTTCAAAGAACAAGCGCCAGCTCCTTCGCAGCAGATCGCATTTTCAGCCACAGTAGAGACGGACCACATCGCCCAGTCTTGCTCCAGTCTTTTGACGGTGCCTAGACGTCCCAGTCTTTTGATGGGACAACCCCTCCCCACAGTTTTTTTTATGGCCCCTAGTCTCCAGCCGGAGAAAGAATTTGGGACCCTCTCGGACTACACAGAACAGACATACCCGGCGACGAAGTTGTGGTCGCAGGGAATGAAAAGGAGTGGGGAGCTCGAGGTTCGAGTATCGACGGCCCGATCCACCAACAGCCTCAACTCAGGACTCTAAGACTTGGCCCAATGATCGGAAGGAAGTCCTCTCGACATACAGACATTTTCAGGGAGGGAAAGAGAAGGGCCGGGTCGAAGCCGAGGTTCGGGTTCAAGGGACGGGGGAGGGCCGGAATGGGTTGGCGCGGAGTGGATCTGGAGCCTAAACCCGCCCCACGTGTGGAGCTGAGCTCCACTGCCTAGATCGAGCCACCCTTTGGAGCGACCGAAGGCCACCTGGCGGCTCTCTGGGAAGAATGGCGCGACTTTAGAAAAGAAAAGAAAAAAAAACTTAATTCTGGACAAAGAGAGAAGAGTCCCAGTTCGATCCCAGGAAGCGGCTTTTCTTTTCTTTCTTTTTTTCTTTTAAATTCATCACCTTGCTCTTTAGAAGCCCCTTTCTCTCTCGAATTACCGATTTCGGTCTGCGAGAAGTAAAGCCACGGTATCTACGGTGGCAATTAAAAGCGCCTCTCGGAGTCTCTTAATTTATGACGCCAATAATTTATGGGATCGCTTCCTCGCGCTAACCTCCCTGCACTTCTTGGGGAAAAGCACCCGCTGCACCATCAGGGAATACGCAACAAGGCAGGATCGGAAGATGAATCCCTGGGAAATGCTGGAAACGGATCCAAACTGACGCCTCGCTTTCAGAGGAGGCGTCAGTAAAAAGAGAACGGCTAAGATTACAATATTCCATTGAGTGCGGGAGAAGAGAAAGATCTAGCACTGTGCTCTTCTCCTCTTCCTAAATTTAGAGTAAACATAGGTCGGATTTGGCTCACTCTGCACTGCGGAGCCCTATGCAACCTGGGGTTTACTTCCAAGTAGACAATTTCAATTCTCTGACCTCGAAAGACATTTGTTTTTATGTAATAACCTAGTATAACCTTGTTAATACAATAAGCTATATGGGAAATTTCTGTAACTTTGGAAAGGAAGTTTTTGTTTCAAGTGCAAATATCTGTTTGCGTGATTGCTATTTTTCTGCCCCACCAACTTGGCTATTTAAACCATAATTTTTAGAACTAAATTGATGAGGTTTCTAATGCTGAAATTAAAGTATTCTTACTCAGACTTTACATAGATTCTTCTGCCACACAGATCTATACCCATTCAAGCCCCAAATAAAATTAATTACTCTCCTAACTTGATTGCATTTGTTTCCATGGAAATACAGTGAAGGTGTAAGTCGTACAGTTTGAAGCAAAATGTTTCACTGGACTGAAGAACAACTAACTTAAAATACTACAGATAAGAAGAAAGGAAACCTACAACCCTATTGTACTTTTTCTTGTATATTTTTTCACATATTATTTATAGGCTTTCATTTTGTTGTCATTTAAGATAACTAAAAAGATTTTTTAAAATTTTAAACACCATCCGTAGTGCAAGCAAATGCAGCACAAATCACAATTCTGGGGGTGGGGAAAGGTGTTCTGTCAAAATCTGTATTTTGGGAGGTGGGGGAGAAAAATTATCAAAAAAGAATTCACCCTTGTTTTCTGCAAAATAAATATTACTCCTTTAATTTAAAATTTGAAATTCCTATTGAGTTTTGAGCCTCAATTATACTTCTGACATTTATACTTTTGAAAACTAACTGCCTATGAAATGGCTTGGACACTAAGTGAGGAAAACTCAGAAAACCTTGATGTTAAATGAAATGAGCAACAGTGAAAGGTATATGATATTTCCAAACAAGACCTTGAAAAAAGTAAAATTTCTTCCTCCTTGACTGTATTATCGATATCCTTAGTCTTTCCAACTCTCTTGCTACACCATTAAGAAGAAAACCTTAAAAGTAAATAAAATTAAATAAAACCACTCATTTTCAAGAAAGTTACAGTAAGGTAAAGCTTTGATAAACAACCTACTAGGGGATAACTATGTTTTCCAGACACTTGTGGCAAAAAAATGTTGTTCAAGATTTAATTTAAGCTTACTTCTTTACTTCATGAAACTTTGGAAAAGGGAGTCCCGCTGCTGCGTTGAACAAGGAGCACTGCAAAATGCAAAGCTAGAAGCTTCTTTCGGACCTGCTCAATTTAAAATATGTAGGCATATTTGAGATACCTGGGAGATTTAGTCCCATGCCTCTCATTTAAGAGAGGATTTGGGGTGGTCCTCTATGCTAGAGATTCTGATTATGATCTTGCTGCCTGAAATTTCCTACCAGCCGATTCGCACAAAATCGGCAAATTGATTCCGGAGTAAAAACTTGTGCAAGTTTGCCACAGAGCTCGGTGTGTGGAGGAACAAATTCGGATGGGAGGAGGCCTCAAAGCACTTGAGAAAAGAAAGGGCCCCATCCATGCCTAGAGAAAACTCGGTGGGTACGTACGATTGTTGGGGTCCCCGGTGTGCTGGTTGAGGGGAATGATCTCCATGCGCTGTTGCCCGTAGAGGTAATAGTCCAGTTCTTCGGCCGTGCAGCGGAACCTGGTCGCCGCCCTCTCGCTGCACTTGGCCAGGCTGCCGCCGCCGCCCCCTCCCAAGTCCTTGGTCTGCAAGAGCGAGACCTGGGCTCCCGTCGCGGGATCGGAGCTTTGGATCGGCCCAAAGACAGGGATCTGCGCCATCGGCAGCGAAGTCAAGCTGGCCAGGGAGGCGACGGCGCACGAAGATGGAGCGGACGAAGGAGTGGAAGAAGAGGAGGACGAGGAGGAAGACGAGGAGGACGAGGAGGCGGACGAAGAGAGAGACGCCGGGAGCTGCCGGAGGTTGTCACAGGTTGGGTCGAGGACTCTTTCGGGCGCCTGGAGAGGGTGGCCCAGCAGCCCCGCGCCACCTTTCAGTTGGCTGCTGGGTGGGAAAAGCTGCTGCCAGTGTTGGAGGTAAGCCGGGTCCACCTTGAGGAAAGCTGATCCGCCGGGGTCGCCGGACTTCAGCATCTCTGCGAGCCTGGGGGGGGGGGGGGGGGGAGGGAGAGCTGAGAGGTTCTGCCGGGATTTTGGTCACCCAGGTGGGTCTCAGTCCACTGGAAAAGTGCGGGCAGGAGAGAAGCGTGGCTCTTTTACTGAGCGCTTACCCGAGATTTCCCCCAGGCGCAGAGCCTGACAGGACAGAATCCCCCCCCCAAATGTCACGGGGGAAGGAAAGGGGGGAGGAGCCCGGGGGCTTTGACCTCTCTCCTCTCCCCCCCCTTCACCCCAAAACTTCCCCCTCCTCTGGGTTGCAGTTATCCGCTTTATTCCCTCCGTCTTTCCCTCCGCCCTTCCGCGCATCCTACCTCATCCCTCGACCCGACCTCTTCCTTTCCAACCGAGGGAGGCTACCCCCGCTCCTCCCCCCCACATCCGAAAGGGGAAGGGAAAAGAAAGGCGCCGAAGCAGCTAATCTCCAGGCAAGCAAGGAAACCCCCTGGCCAGCTCCGCAGCGTCCCGGCAAGAAAGTTGCCTGGCTTGAAGCAAACTTCCTCCGGTCGCGGTCAGGAAGCCCAACGGCCGGATGGGCAAAGGCATTCCCCCTCCCCGCCCCGCCTGGGGATGCCGGCTGCCGGGCCTCTCCTGCTGTACCTGAGGTGCGCGAAGGAGGAAGAGAAACTCCCCGGGGTCCAAAAGAGGCGAAAAGGAGGAAGGAGCTCGATTCCCGACCACCTGGGCCTGGAGGGAGATGAGAAGCAATGGGAGCTGGGAGGGGGCGGTTAACCCGGCAAGGGAGAGTCCGGCTGGGCTCTGGGCTGGCTCGGTGCGCTCTTGGCTGTGGTTGCTCGGCGGAGACGGCTGGGCTCCGCGCAGTTCAGCGAGCTGCTGGCCGCCTTTGGGCGAGACACGTGGGTTTGACGACAGCACCAAACACTAACGCGGGGGGGGGGCAGTGGAGGGGGGGCGGGAGAAAGTGCCGGATCTGGGACCGAGAAGCCCCGCGATCCTTTCCCAGCCCTCCTCCCCTCTATCCCCCCCCCCCCAAAAAAAAAGCCCGCACAAAGACGCGCGTGCGCGCGCATCCATCCCGCTTCGTGTGGGTTGGGGTGGGGGGGGAAGCGGCTGAAGTTGCGAGCGTGCGGAGCCGAAAGGGAAAAGGCTGCCGCCGTTTTTCCTTCGCAAGTTCCCGAGGTGGAAGCCGGGGAGGCGGACACGCGGACGGCACGCGGAGCTGCTGGAGGCAGCTCGGCCGCCGCTGGGGGCTTTCTCGGCTCCGGAAAGTGAGCCAGATGTCCCGGCGCGACGCCCTGTAAGAGCCCGCGATCCGCCCAAAAGGGAATCTCGTGGAGAACGAAATCGCCCCGAGTAGCAAAAGCGGATCCGTTGGGTCGTGTGAACGGGCCGTTTCGCGGCTCGATGGGGCGTCAGAGAGGAGATGCTGGCGCCCTTGGCCTTGGATTCCCCGCCTCCCCCCTGACCCCAGTCCCGCTTTTAGACCTTCAGCTAAAGTCAAGTTCCCCTTTCGAAACCATTCAGACAATTTGCTTGTTTTCTCATATTCGGTTGCCCAATAAGAGCCGGGGATCCTCACCTTGGCCGAGCCTTCAAGCCCACCCTTCAGGCTAAGCTTTGGGCACGACCACTTATTTTGCTCCAAAGAAACCTGGGTTTCTTTTCCCAAACGGTGTGTGTGTGTGTGTGTGTGTGTGTCTACCTCAGTGTTGTCTGTATGGACGCCTCCCCCGCAATATTTCCCACTAGGAACTAATCTAAGAAAGGGAAGGTTAGGAAGCCCTTGGAGAAGCGCTTTCGCTCTTTTGCCCACGAATAAATAGGAACCCGACAGTCATATCTAATTGGGCGTGGAGAAGGGGGCAATTGGATTATAAATAGATTCGCGCCTTTCCCTTCGAGTCTGGTTGGTGAAATAGAAGATTGGAGGCAATCGCTGGTAATCGGAGTCAATTTTCCAGCCTTATAATTCCAGCCGTACTGAATTCTGTTCTAGAAAATGGCCGGGCAGCTTCCACAAAACTGGGCAAGACTTTCTACTGCAGGCAATTCATTGGGTTAACAATGGGCAGTAATTAACCAGAAGTAAATTAACCTTTCTCTCCTGCACAATGCCGTTCCCACATCCCTTCTCACACTAGAATCCTCTTCATAAATCCATTATTTTTATTTATTTTTTTACGCGCAACTGGTTCTCTGCCATTTGTCGACTTGGCTCTTTTGGAGGGAGCCTGGGAATTCTGACGTTGTTTAGTTTCTGCCTGTGTCTTAAGGAAGGGCATTTTCACACAAATCTGAACGGAACAGTTCGGGCTCAAAGCGAAAAGAACTGTTTTGACTGGAGACCTTGTGACAAGGTCATCCGTCTTTTTCTTTCTTCCCCGGGATAGATTGATAACACCTCTAAGTTAAAGGCAAAACATCCACCAACGAGGCGAGCGAAGGAAAGGACCCACCAGGTCTCTTCCCCAAACCCATTCGGGAGACACCAAAGGGATCTCTCTAGCCTTCTCATTGCCTTTGAGTCATTGGAGGTGTTCAGGATAACGATTCCTCGCTACTGCTTCTCCGGCTGTCACCTTTTAAAGATACTGACTTCCAGTATCGCTGTTTGCAACAGCGGAGAATAGAAGTTTCTAAAGAAGTTTTAGATCAATGTGAAAAGGGACAAACTAGAGACCGAAGCAGAAGGCGAGCTCTGTTAAAGAACCCGACACGGTTCTTTTCTCGACGTCTGAGAGCTCACGATCCTAGAGAGTCGTGCGAATTAAAAATTAAATTGAGGCGTCAACTTCAACCGACTCGAAAGCAAGAATCCAAGTCCACCAGGTCCCTATTACAAACCTCCTGTTTCGTTTATGCCCTCGCTCCGCCGCTTCCAATAGAATCATGATTTTTTTAAAAAAATACGCCAGGAAATCAACCCGAACTTGCAAGGGGCCCCGGAAAGAGGGTCAGGCGAGAGAAGAGAAGGGCAATAGCTCCAATGTGGCTCCCAGGTTAAGCCCTAGAACCGGAGAATCGAAGCCGGAGGTTGGTCGCCACCAGGTTCTTTGCAGGGGAAAGTCTCAATCGAACCGTTTAGTGGGAGAAAAAAGCGCTGGAAGAAAATCCAACCTGAACGTGGAAGGATAACTGCCAGATTTACCGGTGTGTCCCCTTCCCCTCCCCATCCCCAACTACGTTCAATTCCCCCCAAGCCCCGGCCTGCAGAGGCGCGGATCTTTCTTCCCATCTTCTGATGGCTGTTTAAAAAAATAACTCCAAGGCCGCCTCTGAGCTACCAACTTTTCCCACACCCCTTACTCTGAGCCCTTCGTTAGGCATGCTGGCGGGGGATGAGGGGAACTGTAGTCCAATATATGTAGCGGGCGAGCGATCTCAGACGGAGAAAAAGCCGGGAGGGTCCTTCATTTTTCCCATTCTACTTTCCCTTCAAAGCGGTCTGGATGTCGGCTTCAACAGAAGCTAAGCAGCGTCCGCTAAGAACTGGGAAGACAATGGGTCAAGGAGTCTCAAGGATCTGGGTGGAAGATGGAACAGCTGCTCTGGTCAAGCGTGACAGGGGATGGGTAGGTGGGTGGGACACTGGACCTCCGGAAAAACCAGTCGCCGGAGCCAAAGTGCGACCAGGGAGTGACCCCTTTCTTTGCTCCCATCAAGTCAAGGCCACCCTCAGCTAAGTCCAACTTTTCTTTTTGGCTTTTCATGAGCCTCACTTTAAGTTTTTGGGCTTTATTCCTTTTTGCTGGTTTTCAAATAGCGGCTTCGAGGCTTACAGAGGTCGTGATGAAGACCTCTCTCCGTCCCTCTCCCCCCCATCCCCTCCCACCCACCCCCGGCTGCAGATTTAGTATTCCGGCCCAGGCACACTCCCACCCCTCCCCGCCCCTCGCGTTCTCATCGGGTTTTCTTTTTGTTTTCTTTTTTAATGATTATTATTTATAGGGCGAACGGAGAAACAAATCACACCGACTCTCTCGAAAGCGATCGCACACTTTTGATTTAAGAAAAAAAAAATCCACCGCCCACACCAAATCGATGGGCGAATATTTGTTAGGAATCCATTCCCAGAGAAATAAATAAGGAAAGGCGAAGTGTATTACATGCAAAAAGGTGAAATGCGGTGGTGTTTTTCTTCATTGATTAATGACCTCTAAAATAAAACAAGCAGGAAGAGGAGCCAGAATCGATAAATTAACTGCCCAAATCCATCATTTTTTTTCCATGGGAATATTGCATATCTTCTGGGCCCCCCTTTTTCCTCTCTCTTAATGCTTTCTTCTTGAGAAAAGCAAGGAAACATAAGCTGGGCGAAACGAAGACGGTTTAAAAAGGAGTTGAATCGGGGAGGCCCTATCTGATTTCGTTTGACACGCAATTAAAAAAGTTTCTTTTCATATTAATTAATTCTCCCAATCTGATGGGAAAGACAAATGGTCGAGTGCCTCTGACAGGAGACCGATAAAGGCTTCAGCAGTTTCCTTTCCAGCCCTGGGCGCCTCTTCATCCTACTTTTAAGGTCAGGGGAGCGAACTTAATAATTCATTAATAGAGACATTTATCCAGAAGCCATTCCCACCCCACTCCTGCAGAGACTTTGGGAGATCTAGGGATTTTTTGGGGGGGGGGAGTGGGCTAAACAAAGAAGGTGCGAAACATGGGATGGCATGAGAGGAAAGTGACTGGTATTTGGACTTTGGGGGTGTGGGGGGGAGAGACAGTTTTGAACTAGAGAGAAAATAAAAACCCCAGAACAAAATAATCAGGAATGTCACTGCCTCTTTCCCGGAACTCTTAACATCTCAAAGGGGGCTTGGCTTGAAATGGGGGCTGCTTCTCTTGGGTTTGTCTTTTTGTTGGAACCTCAGTATGATGTGTTGGAGATCTGGGCATCCTTGAGGTTAGAAGGTGCCAGGGTGTAGGTACAGAAAATGGTGGGTAACTTGGTTTTAGCATCCAACAGCTGGTTAGCTCTTTCCAATCTGGAAAATTGGCTTATTGACCCAGTTTTCAAAGAGAGGGAGTTTTAAAAAGGCCTAAGCTAAGTCGATTGTTTTACTCTTCAACAGATGAACAGAGTTGGAAGGGACCTTTTAGTCATTTAGTCCAACTCTCCCCCTCCCCAAGCTGAAGACCCTACACTATTTCTGACAAATGGCAGTCTAATCTCTTCTTGAAAGCCTCCAGTGATTAAGCTGTTCCATTGGTTGATTGTTCTGATAGAAAATTTATCCTTATTTCCAGGTTGAATGTCTCCTTGGTTAGTTTCCATCCACTATTCCTTGTCTGGCTTTCAGGTGCGTTGGAAAATAATTTGACCAACTCTTCTCTGTGGCAGCCCTTCAAATATTGGAACATGGCTGTCATGTCTCCCCTGGTCCTTCTCTTCACTAGACTAGCCATGTCCAGTTCCTGGAACCGTTCTTCATATCTTTTAGTCTCCAGTCCCCTAATCATCCTGGTTGCTATTCTCTGCTTATAATTCCTTCAGAGCTATGGAGAAGAGAGGAATTCTACTGGGAACTGGCTACTGTCTGACCACTGTCAACAGATCTTTGCATCAACAGGTCCCTCAATGGTGAAATTCATTTTATTTTTACTGTCGGTTCTGTGGGCATGGCTTGGTCTGGTGGTTTGGTGGCCGTGGCTTGGTGGGCATGGCAGGGGAATGATACTGCAAAAAATCTCCATTCCCACCTCACTCCAGGAGAAGGA